TATTTCTGATTTCATTTTTTCCAGATCCTCTTTTGTTGCCAGTTCAGGGAGTCCAGGTGGTTGAGTATCAGAGTTTTCCATCTTGTTTCCCTTTGGGGTCGCTGTAGGTGATATGGAAGTCTGTTTTTGAGGCTTGTTTTCATGTCTTGTCATTTCCTCAGGGTGGGAGTGGGGTGCTACTGTTGCCCACGCAGCTCACCTCCTCTGCCCCAGGATTGGTGGAATGGCAGCCAGGGAGCTTCTTCCTGGGCGCTGGGATTGGCTCACCTCCTTTGCCTTGGGAGTGGTGGAATGGCGGCTGGTGAGCGTCCTCCTGGGCGCTGGGATTGGCTCACCTCCTCTGCCCTGGGACCGGTGGAATGGTGGCTGGCCGACATCTTTATTTTTTTATGGCTGTACAGTATCCATTATATGGATGCACTATTGGAAGTTGCCTATTGGCAACATTTTAGGTTATTGCTAGTTTTTTACTACTAGAAATAATATGTGTATGTCATTTGATACTTGTACAAGTTGTATTTATAGGATAGATTGCTGGAAATGGGATTTCTAGATCATAGAAAATATATGCGTATACTTTTGTTAGATATTGTCAAATTTCTCTTTCAGTGGTGACATGCCATTTTTGCTATTTCATTAGTGGTGTTAGGAGGAGTAGATGAGTTCATGTATGCAAAGTGCCTGATATAATGAAAAAATAATGGAAATATATCCTCAGACTTCTTATACATTGTCACATGAATTTTATGATTTCTCAATATCCTGAATCCATTCGTAAACATATATTCCACTCTATGTGTAGTTCCCTTAGTTACTTTGTGCAGAACTAGACAAAGGAATTGGTACATCATTCCAAAGTGATTGTTCAACCTCTTAATTATATAAAATAATGAGAAGGCAGCTTCTTTCTCATTTGGGGGTTTACATTTATAAAGTGGCATTTTATGTTGGAATATTTCTGTTTATGAAACCATTCAACATTATGATGGTAAATCCCTTCAGGAAAATAACAAAATGCAGAATACTTTGGGGAAATTATCTTAGACTGAGCTTATAGTTTAATATTTTTGAACCCATCTGTGATTTAACAAACTAAAGTGATGCACATTATCAGCTTAAATTTGTTCTGTGACCACACGCTATGCCTTTCTCTTGACTGCTGCCTAACAGATCTATGAATTTAGTTATAAGGAGACTCAAATATAAATGAATCCAGAAGTATTGTTCATCTGTGCTTTGAAAGCACATGATAATTTGCTTCTGGTGACATCAAACATTATGCTTTAAAAAATGTCTGTGTATTTAACATAGGGAAGATCAGTGTAAACACATTTAGATTAAAACTCTAGACAAAAACTTTTGTTTCAGCATTGTTAAATTTGTTTTATAGAAATGTTTGTTTTTTAAGTTAAGCAAGTAACAATTTACCTAAAGTTTAGCTATTTAATAAAACAATGGGGTATGTTAAATTTGCATAAAACTGGATGTATTTATTTTATTAATTTAAGTTCCTCTTAAAACTTCGTGGTTGTATTATCTGCTAATACTTCATCCTTTGTTACATTTTAGATTCACAAATTAGCACATGACACACTTTTTTTCTTTCCTTAAATTCTTTTATTGGTACATTTTAGGTATACAATACATTTACATCTATCACTGGATACTTGTACCTGTACATGATGTATCTTGGTTCTTATTTTTTCCCCTTTCTCTTTCTTCCCTTCACCCCCTCCCGTCTTCCCTATTTACAAAGACTTTGTTTCCATTTTTTTCCTTTTCTCATAATTTTTCCTTTCCCTTCTTCCCTTTCC